TCGTGTTAGCTAGCTATATCGCCCGATAGTAAATAACCCAATTCGAATTGCTAGCTAGGTATATCGGGTAGTATATTGAGTTAGCTAGCTAGATCGCCCGATAGTCGATATTTTTTTTCTCCTTGGGATCCAGCAATAAAACGCAGATAAAAGGTTTCAAACCGTATTGTTTCTCAAAGTATCACTCAGATATTGTGCTCCAAGATCATAGATTTCATTGTGGCTCAGCTTCAGATCTTTGAGTACCTGTATTCAGCGAGGAAATTCGAATAAACAGATCAAATGTTTATGCTTGGTACCGTATTATTTCTCAGAAAATCAGCCACATTTTTGTGCCCCACTATCTGTGATTCCATTCTAATCGATATCGAGTTTTGTCAGTGTCTGTCGAAGTATATGAAACGGATAAATAGATTAGTTCTTCTGGCGTGTTCTCAATGCGTCAATCAGATGATCTGCGCCAAGATCTTTTTTATTTGATTTGTTGAGAGGAAAAGTGTCGTCAGTGTCTGTATCAGAGTATTGAAAGCGAATTGAGTTCGAAGGACAGACTTTTGTTCTCACTGAGTTATTTATCAAAACATCACTTAGATCTTGTGCCCCTTCATCTCCAGTTTGAGTTTCGTCGAGGATGAGCGTTTTAAGTGTCTGTGTGAAAGAATTGATCCGATTCTGAGATTGATCAAGAAACCAATTCTCTCACCAGATTCTTTTTCAATGCATCAGCTAGATGTTTTATCCCATCATCAGTGATTTCATTTCCATGAAGTGTGAGTACTGTTAGTGTCTGGATGAAAGAAGAAAGAGGAGTATTCCAGAGATGAACAGTCTGTTTCTTTCAGTGTTCTTCTTCAACGCATCAACGAGATGTTCAACTCCAATATATCCAGTTGGATTTCTCGTAGATTGAGCATTGAGAGTACCTAAGTGCACCAATATTGAGAGACAAAGATCGAATTGATCTGACCTTGTTGTTCTTCAAAGTTTGAGGCAGATATTGTACTCCAACATGACCGATTTGATTGTAATCGAGAATCAATGTTGTCAGTGTCTGTGTCAGCAACGACCCAACTATTGAAGATAAATGAAGAGACTAGTTTTTTCGCCGTGCTGTTTCTCAATCCATCCACCAGATATTTGCCCCAACATCGCCAATTTGATTTGTGAAGAGTTCTAGTACAGTCAGCGTCTGTGTTAAACAACAAATGAAGAGTCGCAGACAAATGAAGAAACGATTTCTTTCACTGTATTGTTTTTCAATGCGTCAGCCAGATCTTTTGCTCCTTCTGGTCCGATTCCATTCGAAAGATGTCACAGAGCGAATACGCCCCGTATTGGGATCCAGTGGCCGAAATACTAGCGTAATACATATTACATAATGCTTTCATACATAATACACAATGCATAATACGCAGTGAGAGTTGTGGAAAAGAAAATAATCTGGAAATGGTCTGACGTTCCTTCAACTAACCTCTCCACGTTCCAATATTCAGTATTTTTTCCAATTTCAAAGTCAATAACTGAGTTCGACTTTTTGAGGTAGGATAATAGGTATGGATTACATCGAAACCGTTCTCATCCAACCATTCGCAGAGTTTATTGCCACTTACGTTACTATTCACACAATTCCACCTACTGTGTTTGCAATTAAAGTCTCCAAAAATGTAAATCTCTTTATCTTCATTCTTCTCGAACAAATCATATAGTGGTATACATACAGTCAGAAGGAATATAAACGGCTCCTAAAAAGATTTTTTGATTTAAAATTTCAATTTCTAACTAAAGGAAGTTAACGTTTTTATCAATAACCGTACACGTAATTTTATTATGCACTAAAATAGCTACTCCGCCAAAACTATTACTACCAGTCGGAGAAAACCATTTGTAGTTTGGAACTGGTCGCAAATTACGTATCTGCTTCCCTACGTCAGTAAGAATGAAAACGTGTGGATAATGAGAAGATAAAAGAGAATCGAAGTCTGAAATATGAGTCGATAAACCCTCACAGCTCCATAGAAGTAGTTTAAGATTTTCAGATACAACTTCAGGTCTCTGTTTGTGCCATTTCATACAAAGATCACTCACACTCTCTCTCTCATCCCACTCATACACAATAGAAGTAAAAAGATCTTTCTCACTCATTGTCAAATCAAATTGTTCCACGATTCCTAAATTTACTTTTGGATCACAGTATTTAAAATCCGCATTATTCATGAATATGATTAAATGAAACATCCATCGCTTTGTTCAGAGCTCCACCTTGCAGTCTCGAGATATTATGAAGGTCTTCTAGGTGTTTACAGAATTCGCTATGCATTTCATCGATGTAATCAATTTGAAGTTTAAGTGAACTAATAATATCATCAAAATCATTTACATTCAATTGTATTTTCAGTTTTAATGCCATTGTCTGAAATTGTTCGCTCGCTTTTTTACATGTGCCATACATTGTCTGATTGACAGCTGTGTTCATTCCTAAAATCATTGTCTGTTGCGTCTGCTGAGCTTGTTGCATAATCAAACATACAGTATTAATATTAAACATACTCGATTGATACTTCTTTTCAATTCTTCTCATTTCAACTTCATGGCGTTCATTAGCTTCGTTCATTTCTCTCGATAAATTCTTTGTTGATTCATTCAAATTACTATTATCTGTTGTATTGAAAATTGTTGTATTTGATCTAATAGGCCACGTACTTTGATCACTGGTTGAAAAGGATTGAACTTGTTGATAATAATAATTCGGTTGATCACATACTTCATCATTATGCATAATTCTCGAATCATATTTATTATTACGATATTCCGAAGGTATGAATAACTGAAAGTCTGGAGGTAGTTTTTCGGGATGTTTTCTCAGTTGCTCAATCAAGCGACGTCTGACCTTATCAATTAATGAGCATTTGTAATCAGTAGCAATGTGATTTCCTTCACAATGATGGCACTTGATGTCACAATTTTGATGTTCAGCCATATTTTTTCTGTCTTTTCCACATCTTCTGCATTTATCGAATTCAGAGTTACGACATGAGGTCTTCGTATGTCCTGGCTGATTACGTCTGTAGCAAATAAGAATTTTAGAAGGAGGAAGATATTCAAACACATCGTACCGTTGTCCATATAAGTTTACTTTTGCCCCATTCAATAATTCATTCTATTTATTCATATCTAGTAATTCAATTTTTACATGTCGATTTTTATCATTAATTGTTCCTGACATATCATCGATTGAAAAAACACTTTTGAAATCTTGTTGTTTGAATTCTTCACGAATATCTTCTAAAGAAACTGTAAGATCAACGAATTTGATAACTGCGATGTGTTGAGGTGGAAGACGAGCTGGAGGAAATGGAGTAAGTTTGATGCCATCGATTTCATTAGGATATCGATCTTTTCTGCATAAGTAAACGTAAATTTCTGTAGTTCTTATACTAATTTGTAAATCTCCTTTTCACCATTCATAGCAGGAGAAGAAGGCATTTTCAGAAACACGAAATGGAAAGTTTTTCATTATTTCTTAAAAGCGGTGTATGTGTACTGGAATTCTTTAGTATATAATTTGGATTATAATACTTTTTTCAACCTTTTTTCTAATTTTATATCGAGTTTAAGTGATCGTTGTAGCGATTTTGAATTTATTAAGAAGTTTAGACCTCCTGGCCTCCTTACTTAGTTGTACTCGCTAGAGATGTCAACAAAGCAAAACGAAAGTTTAGGAGAAAAAGACTTTTAGAAGATTATAATCATTTTAAATTTTTGGAGAGAAATTATATCAGTGAAAAGATAAAGTTTGAACACGAAAAAGAGAATTAAAATTAAAAAATATGAAAGAAGACCAGAACATCTGGAGCCATGTTAAAAATGTATTTCGTCCTTTTGTGCCGTCATTTCGTGGTTTAAAAACAGAGAATGGAATAGTAAGAGATAGTCAAGAAATAGTCGATAAGCTAGCAGATTACTATGAGAAACATTTCTCTACTCCAAACCGTGATGCAAATAATAGTTTCCATCGTGAATGTATCGAAGTTTATGAAAAGACAAAAAATACGTCAAATATTCCACTCGAAAAAATTAAAATCGATGAAGTAACTGCACAGTGGAAAAACTTGCATTCAAAAAATCACTGGACAGTGTAGAAACCTCTGCGTTTCTACTTAAACAACTTCCTAGTGAATATTTACAGACAATAACCGTTCTTTTTAATAAATCTGGTGAGTCAGGAGATTTTCTTGAGAAAGGCAAGGTGGCTAAGGGCATTTGTCTCTCTAAGGATGGTGCATTCTCAACAAACGACCGTCTTCATTCTATCTCCTTACTTCCGAACCTAGCTAAGGTTTTCGAGCGAGTTCTAGCAACGAGAATTGAAAAATGGTGTGTACATCAAGGTATACATTTAGACGAACAATCAGGTTTTACTGCTGAGAGACGATTACAGAGTAGAATTTTAGGTATTGTTGAAGAGTTAAGACTCACTATAGCACCGTCTAATCGACCTGCGCTTGTAATATTTGTCGATTTCGCGACAGCGTTCGATCGTTTATGGTGGCCTGCCCTCTTAAGAACGCTAGAGAAGCTAGGAACGCCTTTAGAATTAAGAAAGTGGATTTACAACTGGCTTCATAATAGAAAAATGTACGTTAGTCATGGAGAGAAAAGATCGAGATTATTTGCTAGTTTCAACCCTCACCGCCAGGAATAAATTGCAAGTTTTTACATACCAGCATATGAAGGAAAAACGTTATTTTCATGATGTGGATTTTATTATTTAGTATTAGTTTGCGTCATTGACGAAAGACGTATTGTTGTATAAAACACGGAAATTGTAGTTTTTAACAATAAAATGTTATTAATTTTTTCAGATTTCGGTAAAATAGTTTATTTACGAATCCGGTATCAAACTACCAACGATCACTTTTTGATCGTAATAGTTAATGGGCTCAGATTGAGCATGATATTATTTACGAAATAGTGTCACCCTTCCGTTGAATGTTTCATTTCGATTTAAAAACCATAATACATTTGCTTCGATTAAGCTTGTTCCTACAGCATGATTTCCATTTTGATCTTCTGTGGTTGTTAACGCATGCATATATGTTTTTGATGATGGAGAATAGACCATATAGCTAAGTTTATTCGTAGTCGTATTTGTCAATAATGAATAAAAACGGTTAACCACTTGTTCGAAAATCATAACTATAACAAAAACGCAAAACAATGGCCAATAAATGCATTGAAAATGACTTAGCAAACATCAGCTTATCTTCGTGATTTTAGCATCATACGTAATATATTCAATGGCTTGGCTCATTGCATACGAAGTAGTTCGTACATCATCCAACTCGGATAGGATCGGTAATGATGATGAATAAAATATTTTTTGTTTATTTGTCAGAATAAATGGTACGGCAAGTGTAACCCGTTTCGTCCCACCAGAAGTACTAAAACCCTGGAATACCTTAAGCTGTTCTATATCAGCTAGAACATCAAGAATAGAGGTTACTGTACCAGATGGATTAACTGAATTTGAGTTTAAATCAACAATACTTGGGATAAAGTTAATCACTTGATAAAAGGCATCCAAATTACCAACACTTACTTTTAAATAACGTAAAGTTGTAGTAATTTGACAATCTCTAAATGTCATTTTAACGTCATTGATTTACAGAATAACGAACATTTTTCTAAATATAGAAGAGATAATTTACGTACGATCATTAAAAATCTCTTTGAAATATGTATGTTTATAGATCCTCATACCATAGAAAGTTTTAAACATAGTATTCATCAATCATTCGAGGGACAGTCACGAAAAGTAATATTTTTTCCACAATCATATCTCGTAGTGCATACAAAGTTATCCATATGTTCGTTGCAAGAAACTCTGTAGCATTGAAAACTTTTTTGTTTCTTTTTTTCCTGGAAAAATAACAACGCGTTCAACATCGATCAACATCTTTCGATCTTCAAATCGCATTCCATTCTCCACTTTTGGTGTTCATTGTATTTTAAAATGTCTGTTCCACAAAACCACACCCAGGTCGAAGAAAATGACCTTAAATAGAATCATTGAATGCTCATCTGATGATCGTGAATGACGCATAAATGAATCATGTTTAGATCATTTATGATCATAACTAGCTCATTTTAAGGTTATTTATTGTCACATATCTGGCACATAATAAGGTCATTTTTTGATGAGCTAATTATGACCTTAAAATGGCCATAGATTTATTATCATATTTAGCTCATTTTTGAATCATTTATAGGTCATTTTTACATCATCTTTCTACCGGATTATACTGGATGATCATATTAACGTCATTTTTAGATCATAACAGATCATAAATGAGCCATTTATGTATCAGTCGCATAAACGAATTATGAGATTAAAATGGCCCAAAAAAAAGCGAGGCGCTTTTGGATCATTTTAAGGTCATAATTAGGTCATACGAATGATACATTAACAGGTTACATATGACTAATCTATAGTATAAGAATTCGATGATTTCTTTCCTCAATTTTTCAGAGCATACGAATGTCAAAAGGTTATTCCAGGAGAGAAAGTTCGAATGGTATAAGAATAATGAATATATCAAACTTCGAAGATTATTTGGCTGTTGCTACTTCTAACTGATAATAAACTACAACGGTACTGCCAGTTCTTCGTCGTTAAAACTAAATGCCGATATATAAATGTATAATATCGGTGTTCCAAACAGAAGTGGGGGTAAACGAACTAAGTAGTTTCAAAAATGCTTGTAACTCCAGTTCTAACTAATATCCATTTCAAAATACAGTAAAATCAATCGTTTCTTGAATAACACCGGAATGAAAGTGGTAGAGACTTGCGGTTTTCACTAGTCGAAAGCTATAACATTTAGTCATATAGAAGTTTAATAAAGTATAATACCACTGTAAACACTGTTTTACAGTGGTATTATACTTTATTAAACTTCTTAATCTAACCACTTCTACTCAATCATTTTTATTTAGTCATATGTTACTGAGCAAAAACATTTTCAACAAAAATTTCAAGATCGGTTTTCTACGGTATTATTAAAAAACCAGCTCGGATTTCTGCAGAATGACATAGCAACTTATCGATTTTCTTCATCGATAGATAGTTCACAATGTCTTCTACACAATGAGATTCAAGCAGCGCCTTCAAAAATCATGGTTCGGTCGGAAACACGGTTTTTCAAGACCAGCAAGACCGGACTTTCCTTTGATCCAGTAATCCTAAAAACACGTGGTACAATAGACAGTCGATGCTTGTGAATTATGTGGCAGTGCTGTTTTTGTTGCTGAATTTGGAATAACTCTGAATAATGAGTTTTCTACAACACCGGGTTTCCAGTGAATTACCGTGTAAAATTAATAATTTATAGCGCCGTTGTTTTTCATCCCAACTAAATGAAATCTTCAGAAAAGACTTAATATGTTACACTAGGGGTAATTTGTATCTGTGAAAAAAAATCCATATGTTTATATGTCAGATTTGAGAGAATCGAACTAGTTTCCTAAAGGTCCTCTGGAAAACCGACTTCGAAAGTTTTTCTAAAATTTGTCCTTGCTTATGTAAAGGTAGCCTCAAGCCTCGTCCGTCGAATGGTGAAAACCGCAAGTCTTTATGTTTTATTCCCTTCGAGTTATTCAAACAAGAGTGACCGCCCTTCCTCTTTGGAACCGAGAATAGCTACGTTAAAGAAAAAATTGAATTTTAAGGGAACAAAGAGGCTGACAGTCGGAAAACGTTTTTTCCCGTAATCACCAATGTTAGCATTATATAACGTAATAACGGAAAAAGGATCTCATTCAAGTTTATTTTTTTCGAAATTTTCACTCACACCGCACAATACCAGCGCAAACCGCACATATAGGTAATGAAAAAAATGATAGTGAAAAGAGAGAGAAATGAAAGATCTGAATACATTATACTCTAACACTACCCCTTTACTTTTACACAATCAAATA